ACAGCAGAAGTGACATAGAAAGCAAACTTAGAATGCTGTCTGGCCCCTCTCCCTTCCATTGCTGAACAATCGGGCATCTCAGGATCTCTCTTGCCTCTCCTAGATCTTTCCTCCCTCCCTGTGATGGGCTTCCTGAGGCTCCAGGAGGAATCCCCAGTCCCCTAAGCAATGGGCTTTTGAAAAGTGACAAACTGAGAACACGCAGACCCTTACACAGCCACTGAGAGTGTGAACTGCCATGACAACTTTGGAAACAAGCTGGCATTATCCAGCAAAGATGGAGTTGTGAACACCACACAACACAGTTATTTTTATTCCTGGGCCTAGAACTCATTTTACAGCCTGTCCCACTCAATAAGAAGCTATGGCTACACCAGGCATGATGATCCATGCCTGTAATTCCAGCATTCAGGATGCTGAGGTGGGATCCAGAGTGGCAGGCCAGCCTGACCTGACAGGGAAGACATTGTCTCAAACAAACAAACAAACAAACAAATCTCTGATGCTCTTGTACCTGACAAGAACTAAAGATACGGAAAAAAAAATGAGTAAAACCTGGAAACCTAGAACTTTCTGTAGTAATGGAAACGGGGCACAGGCCCACTCTCCCCTATGGTCACCAGAGATATACAAAGGGGGGCGGGCGGTGGGGGGACACGGCCTCTCAGGCCGCTGAGGCGGGAGCATCTTCAAGTTCAGAGCCAGCCCAGGCTGCATAGTGAGTCTAGCTCAGAAAAGCCAAAGAGTCACCAATAAGGAAATATGTAAAAGGCAACACATGCATAAACTAGAACGCTATGTCACCGTGAAAAATATATTCTATTAGCTCAGTACAGTCAAATGTGAAACACAGCTCTGAGTCACAGAACGCAGAGTAAGATGCATTTTGACCAAGTTTACACAGAACGTGACATTTTGTTTGGAGATGAATGGTAGTTGGTGAAACTATAAAGAAAGGCAAAATAAAAAGTGCTGCTGGAGCAGCTTCCCCCAGGATCCGCTCCCTGTGCAGACTAGAAGGTTCTGAGGGAGGAATCGGCTTTTAGTCATCTGTGTGTGTCTGGTTTGCAGCCAAGCCAAGTCCTGGGAGCACAGCGAGGCTTGAGAGGTACCCTGTGAGCTGAGACCAACCTGAGACAACAAAGCAACAAAATACGGTAGCGTTATTTCCTCCCTCCTGAAATGCCCTCTCCCCTGGCCACGTTTTAGCAGATCTAAAGGTTGATGCCTTGACGAATGCAGCTGTCATTACAGCGTGAATCACACGAGCAGCTGGGGCTGCGCGGGTGTCATTCTGCCATCCAGCACCTGCCACAACTGATGGCCTGGAATTCTAGCTGCCCCTGGAAGGCCTGAGCCTTCGCAGCTTGTTTCTCTAGCCCTATCGAATACTAATTTTCTTTCTTCTTATGATGGTACTTTGGTTTCAAATCAAGGCCTTGTGCTCAGTAGGCAGGCACTCTGACCTATACCTCCACCCCCCCCCATTGGGGATAAGATAGCAGACAACTTCACCCAAACTGCATCTGAACTTTAATTCACCTATTTTATGCTCCTCATATTAGCTGGGATGACAGGCATGTCCCAAGACATATGTATGTACACACACACACACACACACACACACACACACACACACACACACAGAGCTACTGGTTGAGAAGGGGTTTCATCTGTGTGCCCAGCTGCCCTTGAACCAAGATCCTCCAATCTCAGCCTCCCAAATAGCTAGGATATTAGGTGTGAGTCACCAGCTCGCAGCTTAATAAACAGTTTCTGAACGAAACAGAAAGTATTACTTACTGTGACTATAAGCCTGCCATGGGTCTGGATCTGTGCTAAAAACTTTACATTATTTAATTTACCCTATGTTAAGTCAAAGATACAGAACAGCCAGAACTCTTATTATACTCAGCTTGTGGGAGTGAAAATTGGCATCACAGCTTTAGAACCCTCAAGATTAGTAAGATTATATCACTTGCCCAAGAACATGTAAATAAGTAGCCAAAATGGAAACTTACTAAGTCAAAGGCAGACTCAAATCTCTTCCACTAGATGCCCAAGGGTAGGCACTTGAGCTGGGTGCCAGTGGCTCACTCCTGTAATCCTAGCTACTCAGGAAGGTGAGATCTGAGCATCAAAGCCAGTCTGGGCTTAAAAGTCCATGCGACTTATCTTTAATTGACCACCAAAAAAGTCAGAAGTGGAGCTGTAGGTTAAGTGGAAAACATAAAAGCTCAAGGACAGCACCCAGGCCTGAGATCAAGCCCCAGGAACAGTAGACTCTTGAGACTGTACTTTCAAACAAAAGGAAGCCAAGCCACAAAGGCCATACCCTTTCTCTAAATTTGAAAGTTTCTGCCATAGCTGAGGTCATGAGTCAGACCACTGTGGTTATCTACAGGCAACAAGAACCTAGGTTAGCCAAAGGGGGGGGGGGGGCAGAGGAGGTATCTCAAGAGTTGGATCTCAAGAGTTGGTCTAACTTTTCTCCATGTTCACCCTGACTTACTACAAAATCAGTGCAGTTATTCAGAAACCCAGTCCTGCCCCTATCAAGTGCTTTTTCTGAATGCTGTGAAAGTGTTATCATCAAAGGGATCTTATTAGACTCCTCAACAGTCCATTGGACAAAGAACTTTGGTCTTCTAAGAAGGAACTATTTGAAGCAAAGACCTCAGCCTGGTCCTACCTCCTGGGCTCACCTGGTTCTCCACACTACCTAGAATCAGGAGGAAGGCATGAAGGTTTGTTAAGGTCCCTCTTCAGACAGTGACACAATCTTGTTTGTTGAAGCCTTTTATCAATTCTGTGAGTGAGGGGGCATCCGCACGTACAACTGGAGAAAACTGTGGTTCAGAGAAATTAAGTAACTCACCACAGATCACACAGCTGGCACGTGGACAGAAGCCAGAGTGTTCCCCCTCACACTGGAGAGCTGCAGGGGAAAGCATCAACATGCATTATTACAGAGCTGTGCGAAGGTGATGGAAACAGACCGATGAAACCTGCTTTAGAAGAGGGTAGGAGTAAGGCGCAGTGACAGAGGAGCTGAGTTGGATGGAGATAATTGTATACACGTGTGGAAATGTCACAATGCACTCTTGTGCAACTAATATATGCTAATATATGACTAAAAATAAGAACAATACAAAGGTTTCATGTTATGAGAGATACATGCAAATGTATGAAAATAAAACTATCTCTAATTAGCCAAGCTTGAATATTCATCTCCCTCTCAAAGTGAAGTCTGATATATCTAAGTTATGATAACCTTGAACTGTAGTTATACCACCTAAAAAAATTCCTGCACTTTGAAAGGGGATAGTAAAAATGAGCGTTATTTGTAAATCTTTCATTTTGTTTACAGGGAGATGTTTTTGGAAAATAATTTGTCTGTGTTCTTTATTCTTACTTATCTCTCTACTTAGGGTTTGTTTGGGCCACTTTTATGAAGACTTTCTCCTCCATTTCTGTCCCTAATCACAAAACAAGAAGACACAGAGACACACTTCCAGGTACCCAAAAGAAAAAAAGAAAAATTCCTGCCGGATTTTAGGATGAAGAAAAATCTCACTCACTTTGGAGACTATGACCTTTTCATTTCTGAAACTAATGCAGAATTATCTTGTTTCTCCAATACGGATGCTACTTTCATGATGCATAAAAGGGTTTTAAAATGGTTACACACATGGCTAGAAATTTAAATTGGTCCCTGAGAATAAAACGTGGTAACCATTGGATCCCATGGAGCCATTTTGAATAGTATGGAATTCTTGTTTTTTATTTTTAACAAAACTGAAGTCTGACTGCTCAATGAACTACTAAATTCGTGGGTTTTTTTATTATTTTTTTAATGCCAAAGGGGTTTGACTGAAGAGATTTTTAATCTTGATTCCTGTATTATGCCTTTCCAGAAGGTTCCTAGGGAGCCTCAATGATGCAGAATATGTAATTCATGCATTTTGCCTTTCTGATGTCTAATGCCACTCCCTCCTTCTGCAAGGAGGAGGCAAATGCAGAAAAGGCGAGTTTTGCAGTAATCTGCCCACTAGCACGGGCTGTTCAACCTTATTTCACTTCATGTTTCTTTCTTCCCAGTCTAGAGTTAAAAAATCAGCTCACTTTATGTTATCAAATCATCCAATGAAAGGTTCTAGAAATAGCTTCCTATTTGTGGAAGGAGCCAGAAGGCACATAAAAATGGAAGGGGGTGCTCTGAATAGTCTTTCCCACAGCACTGCCGGGTGTGGTGATGCAGCCAGGCAGAATCCTGACAGCAAACGCACGGTGGCTCCTCCGGGGCTGATTTGGGCTCTATAGGAAAATGTGACCAGAAACAGCCAAGTTCAAACACGGGTCCCAAGCCCCGCGGCAGGGGCTCGCGTCCGCCCGGGCGACCCCCGCAGGTCCTCGGCACGCGCCCACCCGTGACTCTCAGTCCCACCTGTCCTGGACCTGGCGCTCGCCACGCCCCCGCGCACACGTGTCCGCACGCCCCGGCCCCGCCTCGCCCATTCAGGCCCCTCCATCTGCTGCACTGGGCTCCGCCCCACACCAGGCCACGCCCCACTGTCGCTAAAACCCCGCCCCCCACTGCAGGCCCCGCCCATCCCCGCGCCGCCGCCCCCCACCCGCGCTCTCGGCGCAAACTCCCGGCGGCGCCGCCGCTGCGGTCCCCCCGGAGCGCCAAGGCCTCGCTGGCTCCCGGCGCGCGTGCAGGTGCCTGCGCCCCTGCCCTGCAACGCCCCAAATTTAAACTGGAACAGGGGAGGGGAGCGGGAGGAGCGTCCTCTGGACTTCCAGCGCCGCAACCCCTCCCGGGCAGCGGGCGGCACCGTCGCCGCGGGGGCGCTCTCGCGTGGCAGGCTGG